TTTTTATGATATCTTCAAATTTATATTTTATTCAAAAATAAAATCATTATTGTTAAAAAAACACATAAAATCGTATTATAATATCGATAAAGACAAATAATAAAATAGAACATTAAAATCGAGATGTGTTTTGCTGCATTGCGCGAATACTTTTCTAGTGATTTATTAATATATTGTAATTTAAATTTTAGGTAAATATCTATAAATAAATTTATATACATTATATTATAATACGTACGTATATTATATATTTATACATATTATAATTTATATACAACTATTATATATAATTAATATTATGTGTATATATACACAAAAATATATGTGATAAAATATTATTATTATTTATAGATATAAATGCTTTATATATAGTAATTTCAGATTTGTTATGTTAAGAAGGTAACATAATAATTTTTTTGTTATCCAATTTTATTCCATATTTTCGGATGGAACAACATACTCTAATTTTGTTCTATGAAAATGGATTTTTGTCTCAACTTGCCCTACCTCGTTCCATCTCATTTTCGTCTCATATCAATCGAAGACATGACTATTTTTTCCGTCATGTCATGTCATGCCATATCTAATATAATTTATGCATCAAACACATTTTTAAAATTATTAGGGAGTTGTTCTGGTTGTTAACGTCAGAACGATAGGCATAAATTTGCTCGGACCGCCTAAGAGCATAAAAATAAAATAAAACAAATTAATTATCGGGTTACAGTTAATTTTTTATATTTTGTTGTATCGCACATGTACAGTTCTAATCTTTTTCCAGATGGAGTTCAATATTTCCGGTAGGAGTTTAATCCAGATTTATTTAATTATCCATGAACACTTATTATATGGATCTCGCATTTATCTTACTGTAAATACAATGCTTTTATAAAATGAGAAGCAAATTGTTACATCTTATATTTAACCCTTAGTAAGATAAATACACGAAACGTCATTCATAAAAAAAATGATTGCATTTGATATGGGAATTGATTTGGTGCAACTCTATATATTTTATCTTAATGCGCATCTAAGGGTGGAGATTTATTCTTATGTTGCTCATATTAACTTTCAATCTCATCAAAACCCAACCCAATATTTAAATGGATGATCATAATAATACAAAACAAAATGGTGTACGTGATTTGGAAATAGCAGGGGTTTTAGAAACCCATTTGGACTTCGATCTCTTTTATATTATTCAAAGTGGGAATAAGATAAGCAACGACACCCCAAAAAACATTTCATTCTTTGTGTCATTCACACCGTAGATAAGAGATAGATGAATCGTTAGATATAAAGAGTGTTAAAACATAATCAGAGTCAACAGCATGCAATCGAAATATATGTTTAATCAGCGGTATAAAGGGTTCCCTAATTTATATCATCGTTAATCTGATCAAATCAAGCAATATTCAAGGTAAGTGATGACGTGTTTCTATTTCGAGTGCTCATGCACTCGCTTTGGAGTATGGTTACGAATTACATTATTTGGAGAGTTTTGAATAAGATTAATGGTGATGTATAGGTATAGACGGAGTACTATATTTAGTATAATTTTTGTCATACGGTATATCATAACGTTATTCTACATAAGTAGATGAATAACCAACGATTTTTAACTGTTTTTTATTTATTTTTTAGCGGTATAGGAAAAATCTACAGAGTCTTACCCGGTAAGTAAGAACAATGACTCTTACCACGATCAGCTCTTACCGGCTAAATTGTTGCATAGAAAGCCGTTTTGTTGACTAAAGTCTTACCTAGTAAGTAAATGATAGTGTTGAATTTTACCGCTAAGTGCTTACCGGGTCAATGTTTGGTAAATAGCCCCTTAGTATTTGGTCTCTTTTATAATTCTTTTTTGTTATAGTATTTGGTCTTTTTTAATATTTTTCTGTAGGTTTAGGTACTTATGTCATTATGCATTCCTTCGTGTAACAACCCGTAAAATCACATAACATATAACACGAAATTTATACATAACAAATTATATTGGGATACATATTGAGTCCCTTTCTACAAAAATATACACGAATGCATTGAAAACTGCTACAAACTTTTGAAATAATTTTTATATAAAAAAAATCCATATATCAACCATATCAAAAGTAGACTTTATAAAACTCATTGGCAGGCTTCATATATGAAAATCCAAATAGACAAATCTCACATTTTTCCTTTTCTTTTACCCCTCAAACGTTGATGCCTTGAAGTGCCTATTTTTCAAAACAAAATGAGGGTTAGACCATAAGGTCTAGTGAGAAAACCTTTGTCACTGCAATAATTCAATAAAACCAATTAATATAAAATATTTAAATTATTTAGACAAAAAGTAGGCTCGGAAACACTACATCTCTCTCAGGCAACTAGCTACAATGGTCGCTTTTCTAAAACAAATGCACACTCCTCGATAAGACCTAAATTAGTGTCAGTAGTGGCCCACTGCACGAAACACATTCGAGGGCTAAAGTTATATATCCCCCATGCACGGACCATCACAGTCTCACATGCACACGAGCTTCTGTTGTGTAAGTCCCTTTAACCCAATTAACATTCATCAAACCACATGTGTTAATATTCAACAAGAAACATTGTATCACAATTAACGACAATAATCCAAACATACCAATCCTGGTATAACATTGAAATAGTAGTCAGTTAATAGAACATGCATTTCAATTTGAAAATGTTATAAGAAAACCCACCTTGGTGCAATATACGAGGAACTAAACTTTAATCAAAACGAGAGTTCAAACCAACACTTGATTCAGAATTAGAGAAGTATGGATTACAATATATAAAGATAAACCATAAACTCAACCTTATTTTTAACAAACCTTAAGGTACACATACAATACCCCATAAAGACCCTTAAATGACACAAGACAAAATACGAAAACCTACACCACATTGGCTTACATGGCCTGCCACGCGACCAAGGTTGCGACATAAGTCGCGTAAGTCACTGGATGAATTTGCCTAGACCTGCAAATAGCTACTGAACCCATATTTTTACCACACCCTAAAATCACTTATAGACCAACATCTAATCCCAAAAATGACACGAAGGAGAAACCAATAATTCAAACTACAAGAGGTTACGCGTCCTAGCCCACGACCAAAGTCATCAGACTAGTCATAAGAGTCGCTAAAGTCGACTAGCCCTATTTTTTCCTAGGAAAATATGCATAAACCCAACTGGGTTTCTACCCATATTCAACATAAATCTCAAATAATTATGAACAAAACTCACAAAGCATCTTCTTAGAACCAACAACAAAACCAGAACATACAGCTTGAATTGACTTTAAACAACACCATAGCAACTATACCATAAATTATACCTAAGAAAACTAAACGAAAAAGCTTAGAGATGAGAATTCTTACCAAGACTTCGAAGAAATTTCTAGGACAAAACTTCAAAGCTCAACCCTTATTCTACTTTGATTTCGTCTAAAAAAACACACACACACACTTAAACACTTGCAAGACTTTTATTCCAGAGAAAGTATAAGAAGTGACCCATATAAATACGTTTCCTAATTTCAACAATATACCCTCTAAAATAGCATAATACACCAAACAACCCATGGACTTGTAATTTCTTAATAATAACAAGAACGAAGGTTATTACACTTCGACTCTCTTTAAACATTGCATATGTTCCAATGGGAAAAACAATAGCCTTCTCAATATAGCATTCGGGCTTACGACATATGTAGTTAAAATATGAAAATAAATATTGCTATAAAATGATGTATTATTACAACCTGTAAGATCTCTTACTCCATTTTTTGTTCTTTAATTTAAAGTTTACTTTAAAATTCATGGTCTCAGCTTGATATTGACAAACTAAAAAGAGTATGGGAATGACAAAGGTTCATCTCAAATCCAAAGCAACAGGCTGATTCAATAACTTCCAATCTAACTTAAAACTATGGTGAAAGTTATTGATAACACACAACTTAAAGCTTATAAGGAGCTCAGAAATCCAGTTTTTTATCCATGTGGAATGAGTTGTTGCAAACTCCCTCACTTAAATTCCCCCGACGATGTGGGATTGGCTTAAGTAGCTTTGGAAGTATAGATGGCCAAAAAATCGATCCTGAGTTGGGCTAGGCCGGGTCCCGACAATTAAGTAGCTTTGGAAGTATAGATGGCTAAAAATCGATCCTGAGTTGGGCTAGGCCGGGTCCAAATCGGTCCCGATCCTAAAACCGGGAACGGTTACGTCCCAGTCCTAACCCAAGTACGAAGGTCAAGTTAAGGTGTATGAGGCCCATGTTATGAGAATCGATCTCAGGATCGGTCCCGGGCCGGGCCCAAACCAATCTTATGTAAAAGAAATTGATTTTTTATGTAATTCTTTTTGAAATCTCTTTTAAATAGTACAAAAGTGTTATTTTAATACACTTGAAAATATGTAATTAAGTCAATTAAATACACTTAAAAAATACGTTTTTGCGAGAATTGTGAACGTTTGTGAGTTGGTATTTCCCCCCATACACCATATGACTTATACATATTAAATACAGGGTAAATGGGACGACTAAATACACTTAAAAAAATACATTTTTGTTATAATTTTATAATTGATTTTCAATCAAATACACTTAAAAGAAGTTAGAAATACATTTAAAAATACATTTTTTGAAAAATTTGGCCGGTCCCAAACCTTGTTTTTTGAGGAAAACTGTAATTGGTCCCGATCGATTCTGAATCGGGCCCATTTGACCATCTCTATTTGGAAGTATTTCCAATAAAATATTCAAAATAGAGAAAGATAACTATTTTTCCATCTAACAAATTTTCTAAATATTTTTCAAAATGAAAATGAGAGTGGGAAAAAATAATCTCCATATTTGGTAAAAGAGGAAATAAATCCCAAAAATAATATTTTGGAGGAGAAAGAAATAGTTTAATTTTATATTTATTTTGAAGAAGAGATAACATTAAATAAATATTTTACAAAAAAAGTTATTTCAAAGTTTGTTAAAACATTAAATGTATTATGTA